CTTCCTTCCTTCCTGTTGTTCACCCTCTCTATAAATCCCATATGCCCCGTGTTTTCTTGAATTGTTGAGCTGAGTTGTGTTTTCTTGATCCTAAAATCCCACTGTTACCAAACCTCAAAAGAATGTAGAAAAAAAATCTTCTGGATCTGAAATCCTTCCACTGACCAACTCTATTATTCTGACGTACAGGGCCTTTACTCGGTCACAGATAGTGTGTGTCCCTATCACCTTTCAGCTGATTCTTTCATACCAGCGGACGAGTCGCCGGCTCTCTGGTGTGTCTCTGTACGTGTCACCCTTCTGGCTCTGCATTGTGCGGTCAAGGGACCTTGTTAAAATTCAGACTTTGGTCATGAACGGACAAGTGATCGCACATAACATTAAGTAGATGTGTCATATAAACCCATGCAAAAATAGAGAGAGTGTGAGACCTCTCAAATCTTGCAGAGAGACAGCAGGCAGACTCCCTTTTTTGCAACTGGGGACTGCAGTTCCGCAGGAACCTTTCTATCTTTTAATTTGGTTTCGTTCGGATTTAACACAAAGCAGCAAACCCCAAAATATCTGAAGGGTCACCTTTGCCATCCCATGGAACAATCTTCCAATCTTGGAAGCAAGAGTGAGAAGTTGGAACTCCAGAAATGAAATTATGATGTCTCCCCTCTCCCCCAGATAGATATTCTCCATAAAACTCAGAGTGGAGAAGCCACTGATCAGGAACGGTCTTAGCTGTCAGTTGCTCAAGAATCTTTCCAGCTCAACACTGTGAGGATTGTGTTGTGGAATGTGAACGGCTCCTGGTTTGAATCTCTGAACATCCGTCGGGCCTTGATCGCTGGAATGTTCTGGGCGTTTGGGGTCAGGCAGATTTTTCCGAGACCGACCTCCCATTCCCTTATTTAGGAAAAGAGGTGAAGCCACAAAATTGTTTGTGTGTGTGTGTGTTGCATTAGGATTTAGGAGGGAAAAACCACAAATTTCACAACACTTCCATAGCCGAGGGGAGGGGGGAAAGGAATATTTTCCAGGGTGAAGAAAAATCAGCTGATCGAAAGGTCTCACATATCACAGAATCCTTATAGGATCGCAGAATAATGGAGATGGAATTGGCCTCTAAGGCCGTCACATGTCAACGGCTGCATGTCTTAAGTGCCATCTCTTTTATGCTTCAAAAAGAGATGACGCTATGGTTCCCGAGATGCTACATGATCAACACCCAGTACTCTGGAGTTTGCAGTATCACCAACACCAGATAAGAGCTTCCCCAGTCTCTGAGTCAGAGTCAGTATAGAGCTGAATACCAATTACAGGGAGACAATAGGAGGAAAAGAATGATCTGTTTGTTAACATATCTACTCCACTTATAAAAAGAAAGGATTCCCAGAGCAGCTGTGAAAGGTCAAAAAGGAGACACTGCTCCTGCCCAGCCTGGAAGATTATAATCTAGAAACCACAGCACTAGAGGAAAGGGGGAGGAGGAGGGAGGAGGAAAACACATATGATATGGCCGTTCCTTTGGCAAACGAAAGAAAACCAGAGGGGGTCCCTGAAACTGACATGCTTCCCTCTTTCTCCAGGCGTTTGGCTGACAGATCTGGTCCACGTCGCAGCCCACGAAATCGGCCACGCCCTGGGTCTCATGCACTCCCTGGACCCCAACGCCCTCATGCACCTCAACGCTACGTTGACGGGGAAGAACACCATTTCGCAGGACGAGATGTGGGGCATCTACAGACTTTACGGTGAGCGAAAGCATGACAGGAGGCACTCATGAGAGATGGGGGGTTTGCAGCCGTTGTGATTTCAACAGCCCCGATGTCTCCCTCTAGTGGGAAGGAGGAGTAGAACACACCCTTTCCGTATGTCTTAAAATCAGGGCAGGGATGACCCCAGCCGCCTGTACAATGGTGCCTCGCTAGACAGTTACCCCGCATAGCGATTTGCAAAACAGTGATTCCTATGGGGGAATTTCACTGGACAATGTTTGGTCCCTGCTTTGCAAACCGATTTTTGCTAGACAACGATTTTGGCAGCTCCCTCCGCGCTTGCAAAACGGGTGTTTTCGGGACCTAAGCTTCGAGACGGTGATTTACACAGCTGATTGGCAGTTTGCTAAACGGCTTTCCTATGGCCAATCTTCGCTACACGACAACAATTCTTTCCTCTTGGAATGCATTAAGCAGGTTTCAATGCATTCCAATGGGGAAATGCTTTTCGCTAGACAATGACAATTCTTCCCCCTTGGAATACATTAAGCAGGTTTCAATGCATTCCAATGGGGAAATGCTTTTCGCTAGACAATGACAATTCTTCCCCCTTGGAATACATTAAGCAGGTTTCAATGCATTCCAATGGGGAAATGCTTTTCGCTAGACAATGATTTCGCTAAACAGCGATTTCAGTGGAAGGGATTATCATTGTCTAGCGAGGCACCACTGTATTAGCTACCTCCATGCACAAAGCCCTCTCCGTTAATTCCCCTGCTTTCTGGAAAGCAATATTATCAGTGCAGGCAAAGAAAACGTTTTATATAAGGTCCTCTGTTCAGGCAATTTTGTGTTTTGAACCTTCCCTGGATTTTTCTGATCTCTGCCTCTAAACAACAAAATAACCCAGGCAGGGAAAATTATAGGTTTTCAACCCATCACTAACATCCAGTGAAAGGGTGTATTTACAGCTCAGTGGTGAGTCAAGGAAAGAGAGGGAGAAGTGGTCATAAAGCCTGTTGGGGTGGGGGGCGGCAGAGAAATCAAATCTCCTTTTCTTTGGGAAGCCAGTAGGAACATTTGTCCCAAACTACTTGCTGGTTTCTGCTGCGAAACCGGTAATCTACACCCTGCCAGGAAGAGGCCCAGAAACCATCAGTGGAGCTATGCATGGAAAATGCAGGGAAGAAGTACTGTAGCTTGATTTCCTTCCCTCTAGGAGTAGAGTATATATATATCTCTCTTCAAGTAAAGCTTATTTCACTTTGCTTGATTTCCTTCCCTCTGGGATTAGAGTATATCTCTCTCTCTCTTCAAGTAAAGCTTATTTCACTTTGCACAGGTTGGAAAGCACCAAAGCTTTAATAATCGTTGTGTGCTGTCGAGTCCATTCTGACTTACGGCAATCCTTTCCAGGGATTTCCAGCTAGAGAAGACTCAGAAGTGGTTTCCCCTTCCCTTCTTCTGGGGAGGGATCCCTGGGACTGCTGTGCAGCTGGCCCAAGGCCACCCAGGCTGACTTTACTCCTAGGAGGCACACAGTGGGGGAAATCAAACTCCCCACCAGAGATACAATACAAAATAAAGAAGGTATTGGCAGCTGGCTGGAGTGCTTAGTGGCTTTGGTATCTGGCTGCAGAGATCGAGGTTGGAAGTAGAGATGGTACACACTGCTGGTTCGGTGGTTTGTGATGGTTTGGTTACTGTTCGACACTTCCTAGCCCCACCTCCTCTGTTGGGCGCCCGGCTTCCCTTCCCTGCCTCCTCCAGCCACTGCCTCTGAGTGTGCACCCAACAGAAAGTGCCGAACACCACTTCGAACAGTAACCGAACCAGCGCAAACCATCTTTCTTTCTTTTAGCCCAACGCCACTTCGAACAGTAACCAAACCAGCGCAAACCATCTTTCTTTCTTTTAAACCCATCTCCTTTCATCTCAGGCTGCAAAGACAGAGTCTTTATCTGTCCCTCCTGGTCTCGAAAAGGATACTGCAAGACACGGAGAAAGTTCATGAAAAAACATTGTCCGTACAGCTGTGACTTCTGCTTAGGTAATAAATATGCCTTCTTTTAAATTTGTGTGCGCGTGTGTGCATGCGTGTAACTCAGTGGTTCCCAACGAAATCAGGGTGCCCAGATGTTTTTGGATGGCAACTCCCGGAAATCCTGGCCAGCACATTTAGGGGTGAAGGCTTCTGGGAGTTCTAGTCCGAGGTGCCCAGATGTTCTTGGATTGCAACTCCCAGAAATCCTGGCCAGCACACTTAGGGGTGAAGGCTTCTGGGAGTTGTAGTCCAAGAACATCTGGAGATCTGAGGTTGGGAACCGCTGGTGCTGTGGATAGAGTGAAGTGGTGTATAGAGTTAAGACTGTGGTTCCCAACCTTGGGTGTCCCTGGAGATCTGGGGTTGGAAACCACTGGTGTTGTGGATAGAGTGAAGTGGTGTATAGAGCTAAGACTGTGGTTCCCAACCTTGGGTGTCCAGATGTTCTTGGGCCACAACTCCCAGAAGCCTTTGCCACCAGCTGTGCTGGCCAGGATTTCTGGGAGTTATAGTCCAGGGACTTAAGGTTGGAATACCAGTGGTGTACAATCCAGTTTTTGGGGTTGGAAACCACTGGTGTTGTGGATAGAGTGAAGTGGTGTATAGAGCTAAGACTGTGGTTCCCAACCTTGGGTGTCCAGATGTTCTTGGGCCACAACTCCCAGAAGCCTTTGCCACCAGCTGTGCTGGCCAGGATTTCTGGGAGTTATAGTCCAGGGACTTAAGGTTGGAATACCAGTGGTGTACAATCCAGTTTTCAGGGTATTTGGGATTGGGTGCTTTGTCATGGATCGCCTATGTCCCAAGGCGTCCCAAGAGCTTAGCATGTCTAGAACGAGAGGCTGATATTTTGTGATCAAAGGGGTCGAAATGACCTCAGGCCCGTTTTCACTTTTCTTGACCTCCAAAGACCGTTTAATGAAAAACAAAAGTGGATCCCGTTCCTAATCGTGGATCGCGTTCTAGATTAATTTTTGGACCATGTCTTGGTTTTGGGTTCTTGTTTTAAACCTGAAACCTTCAATTGACAGAATTCCCCTTCCCGGCGGTCGCACCCACCCCACCTCCCCCGAGGATGAAGACCAAGGTGGTCCCACATGGCAGAAACGTGACGTTCCGCTGTGGCCAGAAGATTATTCATAAAAAAGGCAAAGTTTAGTAAGTATCCTCTTCAGGGCAGTGGAACGGTTTCATCTTTTTGATCTTTTACTCATATTTTTCTTTCCCTTTCTGCATGAGAAATCCAACACATACGTTGTCAGTTTCATCCTGTCTTATTTAGTGCTATAGAGAGCATTTGTATAGATGTTTATTCAGATTTAGGTCAGATTGAATCTAGTGAACCTCACGTCCAGATATGCAGGGGTAGTATTTTCACTTTTTTAAAAATTAGAAATATAGATTTTCATGATGTGTTCACCAGAACTGGCCACTAGAGAGAGCCAGAGATCATGCTATGTATTCTTGTTGATGCAGAATACATAACAGGATCTCTGTCTCCCTCTAGTGGCCTGCTCTAGTAATACATGGTAAAAATACATATTTCTGGATTTTTTTCCCCTTTTACCATGCTATGTATACTGTTCACTATTATCCACAGTTTTCAGCATCCACAGAGGGGGTTAGAACCAATTTTCTGCAGATATGGGGGTGTTCCTACTGTATTCATTCTGAGATACTGGACCTATTGATTTCTCCACTGCCCTGTTGTCTCTCCCCCCCCCCCCCCGCAGTTGGTATAAAGAGAAGGAGCTCCTAGAGTACTCCTACCCCGGATATCTCTCGCTAAACGATGACCACATGAGCATCATCGCCAATGCCATTAATGAAGGGACTTACACTTGCATGGTGAAGAAGAAATCCAAGATCTTGACCACGTATTCCTGGAGGATTAAGCTCAAGCATTGATTGGGAACCTTTAGAAGGACTGGGATAGTTCGTTTGGCTTTGGTCCATGTTGGACTCCTTCCTCCCCCCCCCCCCCGGCATTTGTATATTTACTTTCAGCAGCGCATTTCGAACTGACTCCCTTCTAAACCCCACCCGTCTGCTCTCAACTCTTTGCCGGTGTGCGAGGATGCTGGAATTTCCTCCACCGGTCTGAAAGGAGAGAACTTGAAAGTAAGTTAGATGGTCTGTGTGCTGTGTTTCTTGGAGTCTTCGTGGATCTGATGCTACGTAACTCCATGGTTTCGGTCTCTGGCTGTGGAGCCAGAGGTTGGGAATTCGAATCCCCCCACCCCGGGACTGTGCAGCTGGCCCAAGGCCACCCAGGCTGGCTCTACTCACAGACAGCAGCACCTCAAATGAAGGCTTAAAAGATCATCCAAAAACGGGTCTCACTTTTTTCTGATGTCCCTTTTGGTATTCATCTTCTGCAATAATCCTGCGATGACTATTCTTGTTTTCAATGCCTTATACGTACTGTGGCGGTTATTTATCAGTCCATTCCGCCATCTTAAAAGCTCCCACCTCCCTTCGCCTTCTCGTCAGCAGCTTCTGGAAAGCTACAGGACACGTGATCCTCTAGGAACTATTGTTTTTAAATCCATAAATTACTGCTGTACTAAGTTGAATAAAGTGCTTCCTCACCCCTCTGTCCCCAGCGTCACTCTGGATTCGAACCCGTGACTTAGGGCCACGGTACGACACAGGCTAGAAAGCCTCCTAAAGGAAACCAGCTGGCCAGAATCGTGAGGTTTCCAAGAGGCTGAAAGAGAACAGCCACATGACGGTTCTGTGTTTTTAACATCCTTCCAAGCCTACAATCATCTTCACCCTCTTGGTTTTTAAAGAATCTGGCTTCTGCATCAAATCATGGCTGGAGGGAGGGGGAATACAGGAGCAGGGCAGATCACCCTATAACCCCCCCCCCCCAAAATTCAAGGGTTTGTTCCTTGATGTCCAAAAATGTCCTCCTGCCCCAGACACAGAAACCTGAGTGACAGAGGAGAGAAAGCGCTACCTTTCCCAAGGTACCCATTTGGTCTCAAAAGCCAGGTCTACACAGGATTGGCAGCCAAAACCAACACAGGGAGATGCAGCACTATATTTGGGAGGTGCTGCAGTACAGCAAAAAAGGGGCAAAGTGTGTCCCTCCAGATGTGGTTAGATTACAACTCCCATCATGCATAAGCAGCACAAACTGGGCACGAGGACTTCTGGAAGTTACAGACCACCCGCCGAGGCTTCAGGAGTGGGTAGGGAACACATGCCCCTCTAGATCAGTGGTTTCCAATCTTGGGTGTCCCCCTCCCGAGGTTCTTGGACTACAACTCCCAGAAGCCTTCACCACTAGTTGCGCCAGCCAGGATTTCTGGGATTGGTCATATGAGACCCTCGAGGGGCCCAAGGTTGGCAAACTATTGCTCCAGATGTTTTGATCGACATCTTCCATCAGTTGCACCCCTGCTGGAAGGGGTTCTGGGAGCGACTCAGCCAAAACATCTGGCGTGGCCAGGTGTTGCTTTTCTGTAACATGGGGGGGCAGGCCAGATGAATGTTGGAACCCCCCAACCCCTGGTTTTAAACAGATTCTCCCAAGAATAAAAACCAGCAGAACAAAGATAATTTATCATGGCAAGGAAAGGAGGACATTCCAGAGGCCAGCGATTGCCCTACCTAACCCAATATTATCTGTACTTAATGGCTTGGCTAGATGGACTAATAGCCCAATCGGCTAGAACAGAAAGTTCCTCCTTTCCTGAAAGGGACACCCTCCCAAGCTTCGTATTCCTGCATTTATTAATCCTTCGAGAAGCAATCATTTTGTATTAAACAAAAGTCAGTTTACAGCATTAGGCTTATTGTAGACATTTATATATATTTTTAAAAAGGATATTGTAAACCACGCTCTCTTAGATTGCTCAACCTTACCTTACTGTAGACATTTATATATTTTTTTAAAAAAGGATATTGTAAACTACGCTCTTAGATTGCTCAACCTTACCTTAACATCTTAGTTTTGTTTGTTTTTTAAGCAAGGATACAAGATGAATAACCTCCGGCTGCTTGCAACTCAGTCTTTCCTTCCAGCTCTGATTTAGTGTGTGGTGTGCCTCTCCCCCCCCTTCTAAACAAATTTCAACACAACTCACAGCTGGAAGCATTTGTCCTTTAGGGGCCAGCAGCCACTAAAGCTACTCCTCACAAACACAGCAGTAAAAATAAAAACCCAACGATCCTGATGCATAACAATTTAAGGCCAACGTTTTGAGAGGGGAAAAAAAGGTTTTAATTTATTATTGTACACAACACAACCCACTGCGAGACAATCCTCTGTAGTTTTATAACCAGAGTACCATGAAATGTTTAACATTCAAACCGGAGAGGGCGGCTCTGGGTCTGGATACATTTAATACAAGTATAAAATATCTTCCTTATATATATTTTTTTTTAAAAAAAGGCTATATACAAATCACAGTGTATAGTTTCCAACATTCACAGCTGTACAAAGCAACAGAGAAGACACACACTTTCCTCCTGCTGGTGTCTTTGTAGCAAAAATATTTTGGACACAGCTCGGAAACACAAAAGTTAGAAACAGACTTTGGGAGGGGGGGGAGAGGGATTCCTGCTCACCTATTGTGATATTGTGATACAACACAACCCCCAGCATATTTTAACTTAAAGCACTTACTGATGACGTTTTCAACGTTTCTAGATTACAAATACCATTAAGTCTCCATTCTGGGAGTTTTACCTATCAACTTAAAGCACTTACTACTACTGATGACGTTTTCAACGTTTCTTGATTACAAATACCGTTAAGTCTCCATTCTGGGAGTTTTACCTATCTTGCCGGCCCTTTATCGGAGTGCGGCTCGCCTGCAAGAAAGGCCTAATTGGGAAGCCTTTGAGGCCGAGCTGGGCCGAGCTTCCTGTTCCTGCCCCACTGCTAGCTGGGAGCTTCTTTTTTTCTGAGCTGGAAGCTGGAAAGAGAAAAGCTAAACTAAGCCCCCCAGACATCTGACTTTAGGTCCTTCTCCCGGATGCTTCATGGTCCGGCGTTTTTAAGGTGCTATAGGATAGGTCGAATGGCCAAGATTGAAGAATGATAGCACTTGATGTCCAATATATATATATCAAAACCTCTTATCTGTACATACCGCCAACATCTCTTTGGGGAAGCATTTCAACTTTTTGGAAGGGAAAAATGAGAAAAGCACTTTAAAAAGTGTTGTCACAGGCTATCTGGACGTCCTGAGAATGGACGCCGCCACCAGGATGGTGGGCCAAGGACGTCCATTTCCTCAAACCCGCCACTTACAGGAAGACAGCCAAAGGGAAGGTAGCGAATGGCAGGCAGAAGCACAGGTAGGTACAGCTTGGTTCACAGTCAGTGGAAAAAACTTGGGGTTCCTGAGTATGAAGGAGATGGATGTGAATCTCCAAAACAACAGAAAAGTCTTCCTCTGAACTCAGCCGAGTCTACCAAAGGCAACCTAAGGCACGTAACATCTCAAATGCCAAGCACAGAGCAGGTTGGAGAAGGGGTGGGGGAAAGGAGAAGATTTATGGACCTTTGTTGCATTGGCGGTTCGTATCACAAAACGATCTGGAAAAGTAACTTGAGATATCAAGACCGGGAAGGGACTACAGCGTTCGGAATGCCTCCGTCAACAAAACCAGGGCTTCATGAAACCTGGAATCTTTCTCACGAGTACCAGATTACCAAGGAGAAATAAAGCCAGAGTCAAAAGGGTGGGATGGGGAAAAATCAGCACATTTCAGCTTAACAGTTCTTAGGGACAGTAACTCAGGCTTTGGAGAAGCATTTCCAAGGTTAGGGGGTGAAAACATGTAGGGGTGTTTCCCCCCCCCACGCAACTCCTCAGTACAAAATCCCACGGAACAACAATATCAAGGAAAAGAGTGTTGGCTTCTCTGGGAATCCCAGAGAATGGATCTCAACCTTCCGCCCTGCCGGGCTCTGGACCCCCATCTTTAGGAATTTCCAGCCACCGTAGCTGCTCCCCCCCCCCAAAAAATGTCAGGGATTCCAGGACTATAATTCTAAATATCCAGAGCGTCAACGGTTCAAAGCCACAGCATGAAATGCTCCAGAAAAGGTTAATGCGACAGCTCCCCAGAACGATCAAACTATGCTGGGCTGCCGCTTTTGTGTATTCCGTTACATCCTGAAGTTACAGGATCATCTTCCCCATTTTTGGACTGGAAAAATCCGTCTGTCATTCCACAACGGATCACTGAATTCTACTCATTTTCTAGGACTTTTTGATACGCCACCCAGTGTCCTATAACTTTACTTTCCACGGAATATCACTTTGTTCAGAAACATAAGCCGACTGAACATTTCTACGACGGCGAAACCTTTCAGCTTCAAAAACTGAGACTCCGGGGAAACAATCACAGGTGTGTGTGTGTGGGGGGTGTTGTTTAAAAAGGTTAACGATGGAAACGGAGAAAAGGGAAGCTGAAAACCACCTCTTTTCTAGATGCACCCGTTGCTTTCTGTATCAAAGTTAACGGAGAGGAGACAGTCGCTTTGAACACCGGACGAACAATTAGAAAAGGATTTGTGTTTTATTCTACAAATGTACAAAGACATCCTCGCCCCCACCCCTTGATCAGAAGAACGTTTAAATACAAAAACAGGCGGGTGGGGGGGATGTAGGAACAGGAGGAAGAAAAATGAAACCAGTTCCAAAAGAGTCCTTCAAGTGTGCTGGGGTTTTGCTTTGGGCAGAAGGGGTTCGTGGTGTTTTTGAGATCATTTCTAGTCTTTGAAATGGAAAACGCACCAGCTCCGCCCAAGAGCATATCCCTCCACTTCCAGGCAATGTCCTTCGGGGGGTGGTGGAAGAAGGAGCAAAGTGTTCCTTGGGCAAAACAATGCAGGTGCCCACCGAGAAAGCAAGCCTTCCTCCCCGCTTTGCTGTCTTGCCTCTTCCCTGTCTTTTTTCCCCCCGATGCAGCTGTCAAAATTTGAGGCTGAATCCGGGCCCTGCAGCCGACGCTCCTTGGTTGGTGGTGGTGAGGTGGAAACCCGTGTCTTTCAAATCGTCGTCGCCCTAAAAGGACCAATTAAGACAGGAAAAAAAAGGAGATATGAAAATGTGGGCAACACCGCCGTTGCTGGATTCTGGGATGCTAAGAGAAACAGATGGGGCTGGGGGACCATCAAAATCAGCTTTCTTCGCTCAACCGAGTGCCCGGCCTTTTAAGCACTGGGTTGTCTCTGCATTTTCACTTTACTGCCGATTTTAACTTTGTTTGACACGCTGTGCTGTTCTATTCCCCCTCGGCTGTCTTTGTCTGTTCCTGCCGCGTGATGAGCGCAGCGGTTTTTTATTTCACGTTGTTTATCTTAACAGGCTCCACGCATCACCCACAGAACCCCAGTCAGCGGGTGGCTGAAGAGCAGAACAGATAAAGAAAGGATCAATCTTCTTTGATCTGTCACCCCCTCCGGGTAAGACGATGTCGGGACTGTTTTTTTGCAACAGGCTGCGTATGTGGACGGTGCTCGAAGCGGTCAAAACAGGGAGGTAGAACATCCAGGTTCAGAAGCTACAAGATGTCACTAAATATCAACTGCTTGCTACCAAAGAAGCCAGTATCTGTTGCCTCTTATCGGGATCCCTGTGGAAGAGGGGGGTGAGAGCCTGGAAGTGCAATCCCATAAGGCTCTTCTCCTAACAGAGGCTTTCTCATTCTTAAAACCTTTTATACAAAGCTAGCGCCCCACCTGCTGGCAGCTGGGGCACATGATCAGGGATCGGATTCTGAGATTTCTCCCGAAATTCTCCATAATTCTCTGCTTGACCCACGGAATACTTTCTAGAAACCTAAATGTAGCTCGCCTGGGAAACCGGGCCTCAGCTGGAAGGCTTTGAGGCCTAGCTAGGCCTAGCTTCCTGTTGAAAGCTCCCCAGCTAGCACCAGAGCAGGAAGCTTGGAGCGAGCTAGGCCTAGCTAGGCCTCAAAGCCTTCCAGGCGAGGCCTTTCCTCCCGGGCGAGCCACATTTGGGTGTCTTATCAGGCAGAACTCCCAGCTCAGAATTTTTATGACTTCCCTTCACTGGGGTCCTTCCAAAACGTCTCTGGAGCCAGCGGTGGCAATCATGGCCCGTATGTATCCGCTGACGGTTCGTGTAGCCTCCAGATGGCCCGTCACAATCCGCCCAATGGAAATAGAAAGCATAGTTGAAGAAAAGAAGTCTGGTGATTCTCAAACCTTGTTTTGCCTTCCATTCAAAACAAAGATTTATCAAACTGGAATCAGATTCCTCGTCAAATCTGGTTATATTCCGAGACACCTGGTGAAAACTAGCTTCTGAAGCTTCTCATCCTTTGTCACAGAGAAAATTCAAGCACCCTTTAAGGCTTTTTCCATCTTGTTCAGAGCCCACAAATAGCCCTTTACATCTACAGAGATTTTACTAGCTGTTGGAAGCTGTCTGCACACATTACCCTTCTGGGTTTTCCCCTCCCAAAAAGGCAGACCAAAACCAATGAACAAGGTCCAGAAAGATGCTGTCTGTTTTAACAAAAGCGATCCTCCTGTTTACAGCAATTGTTTTGCTTGGGTTGTAAACCACTCACTTTTTCTGGCATAGAAAGACACTTACCAGCTGGCTGTATCCGAGTCCCCCTTCTGGCGGCCGTGGGCTCGTCCCCCGTTTCACTCTTTGCTGTTCGCTTTTGGCCGGCCACGTGGGAAACATGGATGGGTCGATGGGAAGGGGCGTCTCTCTGAAATACTCGTGTTTCAAGCCATCCTCAGCTGTGATCCTTCTGACTGGGTAATAGGTCAGGAATCTGGAAATCAACAATGAAAATTAAAGAGCAGCTGATTATGAAAGGGGAGGGGAGGGAACATTTGAAGAGTGTTTCAATCCACGACTGTTGGATTGACCCTGAATTATCTCCAGCCTCTCCCTCCCCCCCGTTTTTTAAAATTGGGGCCCAGATCCAGAAACTGGAAACCATTCCTTTTGGAGGGGGGATTACAATGCCCAGAATCCTAGATTCCAGTGCCTCCTGCTAATGGCAGCTTCCACGCGTAAGTAAATGTATCCCAAGATCTGGCTTTCTGTGTTCAAAAAGGCTGATGTTTGAAGATGTGTTCATTGCAGTGGAAAAAACAGCAGCCGAGCAGCCTTGGGGAAGGAAACACAGGCGAGCAGAAAGCCAGGCGCTGCCACCGAGGGCTCTGGAAAACGTTCACTTAGCGCAATTACATACGCCGCTTCACGCCCTGGTGGAACGAATCCTCCCGCGTCGGCATCGGGAGCCGATGGGTTGTGACGGCCGTTTAAACAGGGGCAAACGTCTTCCTGAGCCTCAACAATAGTGGCACATGGGTTTCCGTGGCTCTCAAGAGCAGCCCAGCTGACTCCAGCAAAGACGACTTGCGAGTAGAGGGGCGGGGGAGGGGGAGAGCAAAGACTGCAGAGGAACATCCAGGGCGGGTGTGTCTTTGGGACTACAAACCATCCTCTGGGTCGTTATTCTAATAAAGGTGGTGGGGTTAGAAGTCAAACAAACTCTCGGTCTGCACCAAGGCCATTATAATTTGCGGCCAAAGAACCTTTATGTGAGTTAAGGGTCCGCAGCAAGAGTTAAGATGGATTTTGCTTCTGCTGACCGTCAGGGACAGGTGGGGCCATCAGAGAAGTGTTCCACCCCACACACACAACCCCAGCCCCCCATAGAGAGTCAGACCCTATGTTCAGCTGGCCGAGAAGCTCTGGAGATTTGGGGGGGGGGAATGGAAGGGGACAAATTTTGGCTTGTGGATCCACCGGGCTCCCCCCAAATCTGAAAAAACAACAACAGAGAAACAAACACTAAAAGCAAAATTAGAAGGGCTTGGAAGTCTGATGGTAAAAATTGAGGCAGTTCTGCTCAAAAGGGTGAGGGGGAGGAGAGGGAGGAGCTGCTGGAGACCCAGAGGTTGGGAGTTCGATTCCCCCTCTGGGCCTCCTTGACGGGGGCCGGACTTCAAGATCCATCGGTTCCTTTCTAGTGCTGCAGTTCTAAGATTTTGTGTCCATTTGTATGGTTGAAGCTCCAACACACAACCCTACTCACTTGTTCATGAGATCAAATCCTTGGTCTGAGAGGAGGGCCCCAAACCGCTTACGAAGGTTGTTGTACGGATACTCTGTGAAAGTCATCTTCTTCACGGCCGGCAGCTCATTGTACCCTGGCCAGATTTTCTCACTAGGGGTTCCCAAGTCCTATTGGGGGGGGGGGGAGAAACAGAACTCTATATAAGGATGTTGGCCTAAAATAATCCGTGCTCCCCTTCCCAAACCCATTGGTGAGTTATTACTGATCATCCGAGAGGAAGAACTGAGAAGGGAGAGGAAAAAATCCATAGGTCCCTTCCAGCTCCACAGTTCTAAGATGATGATGATGGTGGTGGTGATGATGGTTAGATGACTTCTCTTTGGTGACAAACTGGTATGACACTGATATTACTTGGAGGAGCAGACGGACCAACTGGGAAGCAGCGGCAAGAGGGGAAACTGAAATTGCAATTGAATTGAATTGAATCTGAATTGAATTTAATTCTATTTTATTTATACCCTGCCTTTCTCCTAAAAAGGATGCAAGGCAGCTAAATTTCCACAATTTGCACAAAATGCGATTTATACCAAACTGTGCAAAACATGTTTATCTTTTCACTTTCGTGAAGCTAAGCAACACAGAGATGAGGCAAGCACAATGAGACAGGCTGATTGATTCAAATGACACAAACAACCCATCCGAGGCAACCTTTGCCAGTTCATGCACGAAGGCAACGGGGATGACCTTTTCTGATTTTGCAGAAAGGGGCGAGAACCGCTTTTGAAAAGGCACAGAAGTTCTCCTTTCATGACGCAAGGAAGGGATCAAGCCAGGATTCACCTCCCGAGTTGTGAGTGGGATTTCCCAAACACCACGATCGCTCTATACACAACCACTGATGAGGGAGAACGGTGAAGGATTTACCTTGAATACTTTGTTAATTTGGTCTATTTCTGATTTCCCTGGAAAAAGAGGCTTCTGGGTTAGCAGCTCGCCGAATATGCAACCCACCGACCACATATCAATGGCTGTTGAATATTCCTAAAAAAGAAAAACAAGAAAAGAACTGCTCATTTTCTAGATTTATAGGCAGAAAATTGGTAACAGCCCTGGTTAGGCCTCCTCTGGAGTCCTGAGTCCAGTTCTAGACACCACACTTGAAAAAGGATGCCGACAGACTGGAGCAAGTTCAGAGGAGGGCAACGAGGAGGATCAGGGGACTGGAATCCAAGCCCTAGGAGGAAAGATGGAAAGAAATGGGCCTGTTTATCTATGAAAGAAGACTGATAGAAGACAGGATAGCTCTTTTCAAAGACTTGAAAGGTTGCCACCATACAGAGGAGGGGCAGGATCTGTTCCCGATCTTCCCAGAGTGCAGGACGGCAGATTTCAGATGAATATCAGGAAAAACACCTTAACTGTTAGAGCAGTATGACAACGGAACCCATGACCTCAGGAGGTGGTCAAGCGCTCCAACGCGGGAAGCATGGAAGAGAAAAATGGACCACCCTCCATCAGGTCTGTTTTGGTTTGGATTCTTGGACTGAGCAGGGCGTCGGTCTCGACAGCCTTATTAGCCCCCCTTCCATCTCCAATATTCTATGATTCTCAGAATTATTCTGGGAGGTGCTGCAGTCTGAAAAAAGCAACTTTCCCAAGCTTTGAATATACGCACCACAGTTTTTATCTGCCCAACCAACAGCTCTGTGCGACAGGGTGGGCACATAGGTTGACACCCATACCGCGTGGCTGAGAAACAGGCTCAAGATCACCTTACGGCTGAATTTGAACCCAAGTCCCTCTCGCCTTAATCTGCCCTCCGCAGCCATGCACCATCCCCTTCCTTCTGCATCCGGACATGAGCAATTACACACCTACGCCAAGCAAAGTTTAAAATATATTTGCAGAGGAGCTAGGGAAAGCAATCTGCATTGGTTTAGCAGCCGACGGAGAAAAGGCAGCCAAGCATGCAGTGGAACATTCAGCTCCCCTTCGAAGCTGTTAAAGGAAGGAATAATGAAGAAGAATAGCCTTGTAAAAAACTCGTAAGCGGAGAAGACAATGAGTCACCTACCTTAGCTCCGAGCAACAGTTCGGGGGCTCTGTACCACAACGTCACGACCACAGGAGTGTAGGGCTTCAGAGGCGAGCCGTATTCCCGAGCCAGGCCAAAGTCTCCAACCTGAAAATGGAAGAAGGTAAAGATCACTGTGTTACATCAGAACAAAGGGACCCGGCTGATCTGTGTTTATTTTCCTACAGTAAATAAGACGATGCTACCAGCCTCTTGCTAGAGCATGGAGATTTTATTTCTGGGGAATAAAACTCCCCGAATGCCCCCCTTCCTTCGAGCCCAGCTGCACTCACTGGGGGATGGTGGTGGTGGATACAGGGGTCGCATTACACAAAGGCAGAAACTTCAATGTGGAACATTAAGTGCTGGCGGTGTTCCCCTACAGGGCTGAACGCTTATCAAAAGGTGGACAGAATCCTAGTGGTGCTCATGTAAAATTTGCTACGGCTAATCGCCGCTAAATGATGGGGTACCAGAATGCGCCTTGTTTATACAACGAGGCACAGGACCCGACACGCACCCGACATACATTCTGGCACCTTGTTATTTCAGCTGCAGCACCTTACGCAAACATCAAGAGCATTCTGGCCGATCTCTACAAACTGGCGATTCCCAGCCTTGGGTCCCCGGAAGTCCTTGAACTACAACTCCCAGAAATCCTGGCCAGCACCGCCAGAGGTGAAGGCTTCTGGGAGTTGGAGTCCAAGAACACCCAGGGGGACCCGAGGTTGGGAACCCGCATTATAAAAACACCAAAGACATTCATTAAGACTGCCTGGAAATGCCTCGTTCCCCTCCCCCCCCGGGCCTTCCTGTGCATGAAGAAAACCAAAGGAGGCCTTACTTTTAAAATGCCAGCGTGACTCAACAACAGATTGGACGTTTTCAAATCTCGGTGAAGGATCCAGTTGTCGTGAAGGTGCTTGACCCCCCGCAAGAGCTGAATCATCAAGGTTTTCACTTCACCTGAAAACAAATCAATCAATGAAGACGATCATGCCTCCGGGCAGGGATTCCCCCTAGGCCTGGCAGCCCAAATGCGCTGGGAATTTTGTTGAGATGACTCACCTGGTAGGAAGGGCTGCTTCATGGTCTCCATCAGGCTCTTGAGGTCATGCTCTACATAATTCATTACAATGTAGATCTTGTCCATGTTGCTGCCAACGACGATCTCCTGGAAATTAAGACAAGAATGGTTTGTCAGTCTTAATATTACTTGGAAACTCATGATTCTCTGCTGTTCTGTCACGACAGATCAGGCCAACAGGGAAAGCTGCCTTGACTGCATCATCCAGGGACAACGTCTCAACAGTATTGGGG